GTACTACATTGAGGTTTATTTTGAGGTTTATTTTTTCTTGGTTTCATGTTGCATGTGGTTTATTTTTGAGGTCTTCTTCTTTGTTTGAAGGCAGATTTTAGCACATGCCTCTGCTGGCTTACAGAAGCATTCAGGACGTGTTTCTGAACTTTCACTTTACTCTGCTTTGTCATTTTCTGTTGGCAGAGCACAGTACCCATCTGGCACAACACTGTACTTTGTGCTATGATTCTGACTGCTGAAGTTGCAGAAAACAATACAGTCTCAGGACTAGTTTTTTTATATTGTGTCTGGCCTAAAGGGAAAAAAAAAATCAGCTATCATAAGGCTTGGTTTTCCCTTTCTTTATTCAGAAATGAAATGTAATAAAGTGCTTTTTATAAAGAGCACCTATATGACAGAGAGCATTGTGCTCTCCTAAATTAAAAGAAAATATTTGAAACTAAAATTGCTTGCTCATGTAAATCCCAGTTGTCTATCTTCTCTTTGTCATTTGAAAGACATTTTCAAGCACAGGAACTCTTCCAAGAATATATTCAAAGGTATTTCACAGTTAATTGCTAACACTGCATTTTCCACCCTTTGATAGAGAATCACAGAATCACAGAGTGTTAAGAGCTTGGATTGGACCTCAGAGATCATCCAGCCCCCTCTGCCACTGCCATGGACAGGGACACCTCCCACTAGACTAGGTTGTTCAAGGCCTTATCCAAATAGGTTTTGAACACTGCCAGGGTTGGGGTACCCATAACCTCCCTGGGCGACCTGTTGCATTGTCTAACCACCCTTAAAGTGAAGAATTTCTTCCTAATACCTAACCTAATTTTTCTTTTTTTCAGTAGCTTTTACACCTTGTCCTTTCACTACAGTTCCTGATGAAGGGTCCCTCTCTGGCTTCCCTATAGCCTCCAGAGCAAAGCAATTGAGTCTAACTCCTCTCACAAATGCCTACTCCAACCAGCTCCTTACTCTATAATAATCAAACAAATGAGGGACCAGAATGTGTTTTCATCTGAATTAAACCATGTAAATCATGTTAATATTGTGTAAATACAAACACATCTCTAATAGCAAGTTAAAAGTATTTCTCGACCTGCATGTTGCAACAGTGGTAGGGTTATTAGTAGTGCACATTTGAAATATTTTGATCTCTCTATTTGGATGAAAACAGGAGAATAGGCTTCAGTGTATTTGAAATGTACAGAGCAGAAATCTCACTGCAGTATGCAAAGATTTCCTTTATACATCTATCTAATCTTCTGGTTCAGATGCTTCAGTAGAAAATGTTTTCTAGTTAAATGAACATTCTCCTCCCTCTCAGAGCTTCTTACGGAATTTCTGTAGCATTTTGGCCTCTTTGGTGGGGTGCCTTCATCTTCTCTGAGGCACAGTGTGGATCAGAGGCACTTGCCTTCCTCTGGCCAGGGGAGTGTTTATTTACCTGCTGGGACTCAGCAGACTCCATTTGCACTCACCTCAGTTCAGGGCTGGCTCCCTCTCTTGTCAGTCCCCTTGGGGAACCCACAGTGGCAATCAGCAGAGCAGCAGAAACACAGAGCCCTCATCTCCTCCTGGTGTCTCTCACTGTGGTTCTTGGGAGGCACATCCAGTAGTGCTGCGCCCCCCACCCTGAGTGGTATCAGTGTGATGCTGCTGTGGCTGTGCTCCCATCCTCTGGGGTGAGGCCTGGGACAAGGGCAGAAGTGTGGGGAAAAAGTGTGATGCAGCCAGCATGAGGACCTGGCACTTGTGAATGCAACGCAGAAATGATGAAGCGTGCTTGAAGAGCTTCTTTAAGAACCTAAGTAATTCACATCTTACTTCTGCCAGTTAATACATCCAATACAGTGAGTGGAGCCAAAAGACCATTTTATATTGGCCAAAGAGCTGTACCAAAGTCTCAGTCCCTGGCATGTTGTACTTATTGTGGAAATTACAATGGTACAAATAGAAATTTAGGTAATGCAGGATAAAAGTTGGACTTGAACCCTTAAGGAAGAAAAAGGTCATTTCATTTACACATTACTAGTAATAGGAACCCCAAGAAAATTAATTATACTTTCAGATCTTGCATATCATGCATAGTCAGATTTATTCCTAAGTGGCATATTATCAAAATTTCCAGTGGCATTTCAGCTGTTCATTAAACTTTACTGTGGGACATAGTGACAATTTATTACACAGCTATGAAAGCAGCAGTAATCATCATAAATGCAAGCCTTCAATGTTTCTTTCTCTATGTTTAAATCCTTTTTATTTTCCTTTTTTCCCCCACCATTACATCTAGTGAAACAGAGATTGTAGCAATCAATAAGCAAGGAGCCACCTCCTTCAGCAGCAGCCAGTTACCTCCTCTGGTTTATCCAGGAGATGGGAGGTGAGCACAGATTTAGATAGGAAGCCCCCTGTAAAATACGGTTCTGGATTTGTGTCAAACTGGCCAGTAAAACTGCCTAGTGAGGAACAAAAACAAAACCAAAAAAAAAGACAGCTGTGCTGAGAACCCACATCTGAAAAACACAGGGGAACATCTACTTTTATGAGGAAAAAAGCAGAGTTTCAAGCAGAGTTGGGAAAATAATATGCAAAACTAATGCATACAGAAAATTCATTTTTATACTCTTTGTGGAGGTTTTCCATGACACTTCCATGAGTATCTTACATACTCTTTGCTCTGGCTGCCACAGCAAAATCCTTGTGCTGTGGATACTTGCATCTAGTTATATTGGTTCCACTCTTTAAAGGGCACATGCCTCAGCACTTGGAGATTTCTGTCTGGCAATATCTGTGCATTGAATCTTGTGATGTGCTGCAGTCTTCTTGCAAACTCAGCTAATCAGTGGGCAGCAACAAGCCCCAGGTCACGTATTTGATTAACTGGCAGCTAATCAAGCTCTTTTGAATTTTGCATGTCACATACTGGCAGCAAACTGTTCACATCATAATCATAAAATACATTTTGAACCAATCTAGGAAATGCATTTCAGGTGATGCTGATCAGTTTGTGGATCTGCAGTGTGGTGAAGTAGCTCACATGCATCAGAAAAATTATGTTTGTTGAATTATTCATTCTATTTTTTTTTAATCCGGTAACAGGCAATGCATTTTTTTCCAAGAGTTACATGGTTAGTGTTAGTTACCACAATGCTGTAAACAAATAACCAGTTGACTTTTCACCACTTTTACTGCCTTTTTTTTAGTTGTTTGGAGCACCACTAATTCTGATGTCTAAAAACCTTCAGCTTTTGTCATGTGGAATCAAGTGGTGTAAGGAGTCAAAGAGTATGGAAATGGCTGCTGTATCACACTGTACACAGTGAAAATGGCAAGCAAAGGCTTTCTCTTCATCTTGTGACAGGAGTGTCAAGTAATTAACATAAGTTTATGTGTTTTTATTAGGCAGATAATTAGCAGTCAGAGAATATGGTATTGTAGAGACAGCCAAGATTTTATTACAGTATTGGACCATTCAGAAACAGACCCAGTTTCTGAACTACTTAGGTGAGCAATCCATTGTGTAATGGAATCATCCTCCCAAAATGCATTGACAATTACCAGAACTGTGCATGCCACTGGGAAATTGCTGATGCCAATTACCATCATTAAATACTTGAATACAAAATATCTGCAAATGCTTCAGGAATTAGACATAAAATGGATTCTCTTATTTCAGGTCAGCTGTACATGTATTTCTAAAGACTAGGAGACAAAGATTAAGCTTGGTTAATTAGGTTACAGATTTTTCTTTCATATACCTGTGAACATCTCTGTGAGATTTACATTTTTAAATGGAAAATATAGTTAATACTTTAATTAGTGTGCTTTGTGATGCATGAAGAATATTTGAATATCCAAAAATATATTGAAGACTCACCCTTTTGATACTTTATTCATTGATGAGTTCTTTCAAAAGACATATCCCCCAAATTAATTGTATTTCATACAAGTGTATTTCACGTGCTTTTTGTGACTCACACATTTATAAGATGCCTCAGATTGTGAAGACAGCATTTAGCCAGCACATTCAGAGGATAAAACATCTCACAGGTGGAGGATTGTTTCTGGCTGACTCTTAGCGTATATGGCAGGAATACAGAAGTACAAATTCCCTGGGAAATTGCTGGGGGAGGGGGGTTGTTGTTTGGTTTTGATTACTTGTATGTCTCACCTGTCACTTGTATTGAAAAACTAGGGAAAGTTATTGCTTCAGAAGTACAACTGTGACTTTAAAAGTCGCACAACTGTGACTTTTAAACTTCTAATCTAACATCATTGAGTAAAGCTACTTCACTAGCATACATTTTGTTAAGTCGTGGCTTAAGCCAGGTCTAAAATAAAATTTAAAGCATATCAAATGCCTATGGTGGTGGGATGATTTCCCAGGTTAAGGCATACTGTGCACTTTGCATGGTTTGTATGATCTGCCTGCCCTATTGGCCTGTACACCCCCCAATGAAAGGATATGGAAAACCCCATGAGAAACTGTCCCATTTCATGAATACATACACGAGAACATGTCAGAGTCACATCACCAGCAGCATTTTGAGATGTGGATGTTCAGTTGATAAATTTAGGATCATCCAGCTGATCGAACTATCAGGCCTCTTTTTTCTTTACCTGACACGCCAGCTGGTTTTGATGATTGCTGCATTCATCTCTGTAAGGCCACAGGGCACAGAGCAGTTCTGCTGCTTATCTCAATGGCTGCTCTTGCTCTTTTAAAATCAACTCATGAGGTCGTTTCAGTGTTGTCACTTCAAAAGTCCCACATAGTGGGGGGGGTTGCTGGAGCTGGATGCTGTCATTTTCAGTACAGTGTAAAATTTTTCCATTCTGCTGTCACTAAAGAAAATTAAAGTGATTTTGTTATGCTTAGACATGGTTTTACAAAAACTGAAAAGAAAATATTTTCCATCCTTTTCTCTTCCTTCCACCAAATAAAAGGGTGGGGTAATCCAAATAAAAGTACTGACATTGCCTTTACTATATAAATATACAAGGACTGTGTCATGACTTGAACAAGTCATCCTGTTCCAATGAAAAAACATCTGGTTATTCTCATGGATTTGATGAAATATCTTTTATCTTTCCTTTTCTTTTTTCCCCACCCGAAACTCCCAGGATATCCAGTGAACACTCGCCAAAGCTTCAGATCCGGAGCCACAGTTACCTGAGGGCAGTGAGCGAAGTTTCCATCAACAGGAGCCTGGACAGCCTGGACCCTGCAGGGCTGCTGACGTCCCCCAAGTTCCGCTCCCGCAACGAAAGCTACATGAGAGCCATGAGTACCATCAGCCAGGTGGGTGACGTGCATCTGGGGCAGGCTGGAGAGCAGGTGTCACTCTGGACATTGATTGCAATAGGAGAAACTGGATTTTGCTTTAAGTGGTGCTCACCAGCACTGTCATTAAACAGGGTTCTTAAGGATCTTGGGCTTAGAACCTCCAATCAAAAAATTTTGAATGCCTCAAAAAAAAGTTTGTATGCTGAGTTGCTAAGGTAAAATTAGGCTGTTAATAGTTTGTATTCCATAATTTTATTAGAGATTTTAGTTTCTGTATGCTATTTTGTGCATTCTTTGCCTTGTGTACCTCCAAACTTTTCACCTAAATAGTAGAAATACTACAGTATATGTATTAAGTGCAAAAATCTGTCTGTATTTTTGCCCTGAAATCCTGTAAGAGATCTTCATGCTCCTAAACAAGAAGAAAAATGAAGTCCACTGTGACAGATTCAGTTTATGTGTTTCAATGGTATAAAATAGCCTGTCCTTTCACTCAGCATGCTTGTACAGTTGAGTTCATAGGGAACAGATCTGAAAGAAGTGCAGAAGTGCCAGTACACCACAGGGCAGAGAGCCAGTAGTTCATCTGCTACATCTTCTAGCTCCTTGGAGTGATTTTTGGCTTATTAGCTTAAGTGGATTATTTGGGTAAATCACTTGGATGAAAGAACTTCCTTACACTAGTCCAGAAGTGCCTAGTCCAGAAGTGCAGCAGGCAGGATTTGTGGTGCCAGATACTGATCCCTTATTAATGGCATATCAAATCATTGCAATGTCAAAAAAAGTGTGTGACATCAGTGACATCAGGACTTCAGTTGTGGCCATAACAAATACATGTGCCATTCAATGTGGAGCTGTAGTTTGCCTTTCTGCAGTACACTATATTTAGACACTTCAGACTATTCACCTGTGTATTTTGTAGTGAGGCACTTTGCATAGGGCATGGGCTGATGCTCTGAAAGGAGGGTCAGGATGTCTCCAGGAGAAAAACAGCACAGAAATTCAGGTCTCAACTACATGAATATTAGGTCAGGTTACTTGTTTAGCTGCACACCTAACACACAAAGCTATCAGCCAAAGAGTGGTTATTTGCCAAGGTGGACAATTTTTTTTTGTTTTAAAAATGCATAAATTCAGAGATATTTTACTTGAGGATTGGATATTCTTTGCCATAGTAAGATTATTCTTTCTGTTGTACTACCTACTACTCTTCCAAGCTTTTTAAAATAGTTTTCCTTTGAAAAAACATGTGGTTTACTCTCTGAGATTTTTCAGATTCGTGTACAAAGACTCCACAAACATTCTTCTTGGTAACATTAATCCTGGAAGAGAATTTCAAATGTTTTTGGGGTTTTTTTCTACCATCCTAATATACTCTTATCTTCTCCTGTTAATTTGGCCTTGTACATGTTTGAAAACTAACGAAATCCTCAAGTGATGGTTCCCATCTGCATGTTTCCTACCGTGATAATTACTGTGCTTTAATGCCAAGCTCAGGGCTCAATTCTCAGTTTAGAAACATGAGCATCCATTTCTAATTAAGCCAAGGTAAATGGTTTCCAGATTCTTAAGACTTGCAGGAAGTTTTTGAACGTTCTTTGACCACTGTGAGCACAAGTCTTTGTCACCACCTAGTGTCTGCTGCACAAAGGGTCTAAGGATTCCTTTGCAAATGCTCTCAGCCAGAAATTTAGTTCCACAAACATTTTTCCCTAGCAGCAAACCTGGTTCCCTTACCAACCTCCCCTTCCTGTGTTTGTTTCCCTTCAGCTTCCCAGCCACTCAGGTTTTTATCACTGTAATTGCCTGTGGGTTGCATTGATAATATACTGGAGTTAAGCTGACCCTTTTTGGTTTTTCCCTCACCCCGCAATGAAAGAGTGATTTTTATTTTACGTGTAGTGATCCAAATGACCAAATATTCAACCTCTGCCGTGGACCCCGGGTGACATAAAACAGAACCTGCTACGAAGGCTCCAGGCTTCCCACCAGTTTCAGAAGAGCCAAGAGCTCAAACTCTGCTGAATCTTTGCCCAACACCTCTGTCTCCCCTTTTTGTACATTGTTTTCTTCCCCTCACGATTGCTGCTATGGGATGTCCCATTTACCTTTCATCATGTGCAAAGAGATCCTCTAACAGGTGTTGGCCATTGTGCCACTGTAGCTCGAGAACGTTTATATCAGGCAGTGTGGAATATCTGTGTATGGGTAGCGCTGACCTGCCTGGTGTCTGTCTGCAGGTGAGTGAGATGGAAGTGAACGGTCAGTTCGAATCCGTCTGCGAGTCCGTGTTCAGCGAACTGGAGTCTCAGGCGGTGGAAGCGCTGGATCTGCCTATGCCGGGCTGCTTCCGCATGAGGAGCCACAGCTACGTCAGAGCCATCGAGAAGGGCTGCTCCCAGGATGATGAGTGCATATCGCTGCGGTCCTCATCTCCCCCGCGTACAACCACCACGGTGAGGACCATCCAGAGCAGTACTGGTGAGTAACACAAATGGAAATCCAGAGGGGGGGACAGAAAGGGAAGGTACTTGGAGTGCATTTCCATCAGACCAGGCTTTTCTCTGCCAGACGCCAAGCCATTAAGAGAGTCTGTGTTTCACCAGGGAGCTGGACAGACTAATCAGCCTCAAACCACACACAGAGAAAGATTGATGCAGTTGTGGTTCCTTCTGTGTCCAAGCTAATTTATTCTGAGCTGAAAGCACATAGAAGGGAAGTCCAAGGTCATGTCTCCTCTTGCAATCTTCCCCAAAAGAGCAATCACAATTTGGCAAGGCTGAGCAAGAAGGCTCTGGGTTAGCAGTTTTGCTGGCTGTGACCAGCGGGGAGGATCCCTCTGATGGGGTCTTCTACAAAGTTGAAGTGATTGTATAAGTTGCTGGGTGTGGTTTTTACTGGCTTGAAGAGACTGTTCCAGCTCTCTAGTTCCCATTGAAGATGGGAGAATGAAGAAAGGAAGAAGCAGTCTGCAGGTCAAAACATGCATGTTCACATTTTGCTGTTACATTCTTTCTGCAGTTCAAACTATTCAAGACTTGCTAGAGGGAGAGGTTTCAGCATAAACATGAGACTTCAAACCTTCCTTTTAATGTTTAAGGTTGCTTTTCTTTTGGAAATAACCATGATGAATTTCAGATTGTCACCAAAATAGTGCTTAAGGGGAAGTAAAACCAAATTCCAAATCTGCCTCTCTCATTCAGGAAAGCAAGAGGCAGGAGCCATTACATGTGTGTGCTCTTCTCTGTGGCAGGATGAGAGAGAGCCTCTTTCTTTTGACTTCTGTGCAACCATTCCACTGTTTTACACAAGCTTCATTTACTATTCGTACACTGTTCATATACTAATCATATTCTTGACTAATACTGACTATTATATGTATTTCACTGTACCTACTACCTCTTCTGCTGTATTTTTCATTTCTGTTTTCTGTAAACTTCCGTCCTTTTGTGTGTTATCTCACAGGTGCAGTTGTTTATTCCTTGTAAGTCTTTTTTAAAGCTGCTTGTCAATTGTTTTATGTCATCAAAGAACACTTTAAATCCTTTTACCAAAAATGTTCAGCTAAATTAAAGATTTTTCTAAAAGCATCAAGTTTAAGTACTGTTGGAAATATATTGGCAACACATCACAAACATCAATGCATTTTTAACAAATGCTGCAGAGCAGTTCTCATCTAAATCACTGAAGAAATAGTATTCACATGACAGCATTTCTGCTATAGAAATAGCCCTTGTGAGCACCCAAGGTTTGCACCAAATCACAAAGACAGGATTTGCATAAGGTGTGTGCTACTTTATTGTGTGGTATTAGTTTGTGTCAAACGAATTCTGAGGCAAAAACTGAAGGATGGGAGTTTTCAGGGGTCTTTCAGTGTGCACTCTCTGATCTTTGTTAGATCAGCTTGGGTTGATCCCAGAGAGGGTTTTCTGTTCTGTGAGAATGGCTTTGATAACATTTTTCCTTTATAAAAATAACTGTGATCATTAATGCAGAAGAGAATAACTATTTTTTCATTATCCATATGTGAGAGGTTGTTCTTGTCACTTAGGAAAATGACGCCTGTGTCTGGGGATGATGGTGTATAAATGGAGGTTGGCTGTGTGTGCCAGCCAAAAACACTGGAAAACGTGAAAGAGGAAAACCTGTACTGTAAATATCTCTTGTTTATAGTCCCTTTTTTGTAATGCAACCATAGAGGCCTGATCTCTTCTCTGGGTAGCTGGCTTTATATTAAAAATCATATGAACAAAACTGGGATATTGAAAAACATAATCCAGTGAGCATGTTTTGGGTTATTGCTTCTGTAGTCAGGCCATTAAAAACAGAGAGGAATGTTTTGCAGTGCTCTCTTTGGACGTACATAGAAGCATTTAAAGATTGCTGTAGATGCCTATTTTATGAAGTGGGAATTTTACTGAGTTATCTTTTTCATTCTCTAATTCTTGGGCTCCAAGGGCCCATCCCTTCCACTGGCATCATTTCAGACAACTTTTCTCTTTTAGTACCTGACATAGATACCACTGTCTGTTTATTGGCTACCTTGGTGTTGCCTGTGCCTAGCTCACAGCAGAGAAATATGAAAGGCAATGTTGATGGTTTCTATTAATACCTGCTCCAATAAAATGGGAAACAGCACAACAACTAGGCAGACATGAAGAAAGGAGAACAGTATTTCAGGTTTATCTCCACTGAGGTTGCAAATGCTTTTGTGGGAGACATGGGAGCAGTTATGTTCTAAAAATGGTTTTAACGTCCCCAAATGAGAGAGCAGTCCTCCTTCCCCTAAAGCATCTCTGCCTCTTCAACCAAGAAAGATTCCTTTCATCATCATCAGAAATTCGCTCAAGAACATGGCTTTTAATTTACTAATACCAAAGCTGTGATCATACACTGATTTTGAAAATCTCTTTGACAGCTCAAAGTCCAGGAAAATTCCAGCTTGATGGTGGAAAAGACAGGAGAGCTGTCAGTTTACTGGATTCAAAATTGTTCCTCTAGAGCAATGATCCACAGCTTTCCAGGGCATCTGGATAAAGCAAGAACTATGGACAAAAATCACACTTTACCTGTTAGCCTCTGTTGTTGTGGTGGCAGCCTCAGGTTTTCATTTCCTTTTTCCACAGAGTGGTGGCGGTTTAGTTCCGCAATCAAGAATTGCACCTCTAGCTCAGTTCCCAAGGGTGTGCCTGGTGTAACTACAAACCTGTGCACTGGCTATGGCACAGAACTCAGCTAAGGGTGGCTGCCCACCTGGTGTCCTCTGCAGCCTGCACTGACCCTAGCACTGCTGTGGGAACACGGAGGCATGGCTGCAGCTGGATGAAACTGAGCCCAAGTGTAAAAATGGAGGTGGAGGCACAAACCTGATATCACCAAAGGGGTGAAATGTTACACTATGAATGGGGAAGCAAATCCTAACCTCACCAAAGTCTACCACCAAATTTCCTCCTCATATTCAACCTAAACCTTCCCTGGCACAGCTTAGGACTAATTAGGACCTCTCATCCTGTCACTGTTTACCTGAGAGAAGAGGTCAATCCCCAAGTGTGAGTCAACACATACAGGTAACGATGGCAACCACCAAACCACAGCTGAAATGCAAAGAGTAGAGTTTCATTACCTCACCAACATTGCTGGGCAGCAGGGACACACTGGGACATTGTGCCCACATTTGGCTCTGTTTGGCTTAGTTCATTCTAGTGAAAAGAGACACACAGAGGCACAAGCTCCATTAGGCTCAGTTCATCCTAGCACACAGTGATGAGGGGACCCGCTCCCTGCCCCAGATGTCAAAGGGCATTGCACACAGGCAATTCATCACAGGGCTGTACTTTTATATCTCACTTCCAGAAGGCTCAAGCGTGTCTGTGTGTTGTCTCTATACTGGAATTCTACTTCTCAAAACCAGCAGAGGATGAACAACACTAAGCATAATAAATGGACACTCCTTCCCACTATAACATTCTTAGCATTCTCAGCTGCAAGGTCACTTTGAGAAAAAACTATTCCCTCCTTGCCAGATCTTCCGGTTTTTGCCCTTTCCTCCCAACACCCCACCCGGCTACAAACTCCCTTTATCCTTGTTCTTAAATTAAGGGGTTTGGAATGAGGAAGAGAAAATGCAATCTTGACACTTTATATGGAATTATAAATAAGTTCTATGTCACAACTACATCATGCCTTGAAAGCCAGCTCCATTTACACTCTCTCAGTACCGGTGAGATGCCTACCCATGGAGGCATCCTGACTGTGGCCATCCCTGCGAGCAGAGCCATGCAGGCTGGGAGGCAGAGCAGCTCTGAAGTGCTGACATATGTTATACACCATAGGCTGCACTAAAAATTAACACCCAGGTCATTTGATCTTTTCAGAGGAGTTTAATGAGCTGTGAGTTATTACATAATTTGATCCCAGGTTATTTCCAGATGCAGATATTGTAGCTGAAGTGCTTCAGACAACAAATCCAGTCACTAAATAAGTAGCCTTTTAACAATTTTAAGTCTGTGAATCATTTCAACGAGCTTGAAAAATGCAGTTATTAAGAAACAATGAAATATTAAAGTAGTCTAAAGAACATCTTTCTCCCACATTGTTTGTGTCTATGTTTCTAAACTTTCCCTATGTAGCCGTGCACGATCCTTTGCTGTTAACAAACCTTATGACATTGTGAGGGCTCAGGCATGAGCACACATGCATAGAAATACATAATATAGTATAATATACAAATATGTAATGACATCTCTAACAAGTAGTAACATCAGGAAAAACTCTGCACTAGATTGCAATTCAGCATCTATCCACTGTACGGTTTGGTGAAGGGAAATATCAGAGTTATCTACAGCAATGCCATCTGGTGATTCTCAGTAATATTACACTTCTGCTTAAAAGCAAAATGAATAAAAATCCCAAGGAAATCATGCTGTGTAGCCAGCAGGATAGGGAAGGACAGAGAGTTACCACAGTGTATGTTAATTACAGTCTTTCAGCTGAGCAGATCATTTTCCTTCCATTCATTGGAACATCTGGTCAAGACAAGTCAGGTATTTTGTGGAAAATCTCTAAGGGGCTGCCTAGCCAATTAAAAATAAATAAATAAATAAACAAACAAACATATAAAATGCAAAAGTCTAAAAACTGACTTGTGTCAGGCAGAATTCGAAAATAAAATCAAATCCTGTGGATAAGGAAGCTCTAGCTGAGTGTATGCCAGATGCACGTCGTTTGGATTCCTCAGAGTTGTCCCTTCAGAGACTGCTCTGTTCCAAAGGAAACAAGGAATTAGGATTTCACATGTTATTTCCAGTTGAAGTGAAGGTTGGTTTCTGGATCTGTACCAAAATTAGGATATTTCCACAGAAGGTCTGAAGAAATATAACTACGTTAAGACCTTCATGCAGATGTTGAAACTTAAAATAAATCTGAAGATTGTAGAAAACAGTTTGAAAAATAATTTATATGGTTCATTTCCTCTCTTTCCT